ACAATAAATACAGGCGATTTAAGTTTAAAGTATCCTGTATAAATATGTTATATACAAAAAAATATAAAATAAAATATAAACAATTTTTTTTTTTTAATTCCTTACTAAAGATCAGCATTTGTTTTTAACTTACCGTAAATGGCTTTCATTTGTTTACTCTGTCGATTTCATTGAAGTCTGTTTGAATTTTTTTCGCATTTGTGTTGTGTTTTTGTTGTGTGAGTTTTCCGGCAGTGATTTCTGTAATATAAATGTGGCCTGCGGCGATTTGGCTGCGTTTGAAGCGCATGTAGTGTTGACGGACGGCTAAAAATATAGAAAATGCTTTGCTAGAATAATTTTGCGCAAATATACTAATATTTTATACATATTTAAGTGAGTTATGGTTTAGAGCAGCGCTTTGTTTACGTCATGAATATTTTATTAACACGTACGCGTTGGTTTCCTGTCAAAAGTTTTTATATGAAAAATCTGTTTACTACAAAAAAATATGAAATTTTATGCACAAATTTATAGAATTCATATATGTATGTACATATATATATATATATATGTATATGTATATACATGCAAGTGTATGTATTTTTTTATGTTCGGTATTAGAGAATTAGCGAAGTGTATGTTATTATATTATAGTATTCTGATGTTGACAATAAACTGTATAATGCAATTTTCAATTATTTCTTAATGGATAGRCGGAGAATTTTTTTGTATTAATATAATAGAAAAAAATTGTCAGATAATTGTTTTACGATTTGTGGCAAAAAATTTAAACAATAYGGTTGAATTTAAGTATGGCTTTAGCCTTTGGGTAATTGTGTACATAATTTGATAACTAAATTTASCAACTAAATTTAACTCTTTTGCAATATTTCGATGAATCGAATCGATTTAGCCATGTCTCTCAGTTTTTGAGTCCTTTTTCCTTTTAGTCCTTTTTCRCGCAAGCAGCTACACATTTGTCAGAATCGGCGATATCAAGCGAAGCAAATGGGTGTGGGAGTGGTAGTGAGCGAGGGCAAGACGAAATATCTCCTGTTATCAAATAAAGCGTCGTCGTACTCGCGGCTTGGCTCCTCCATCACTGTTGACAGTCATAACTTCGAAGTCGTAGGTAATTTCGTTTATGTTAGGCTCTAAAGGTTGGTAGAGGGAAATATTATCAGAAACTCTCTATCAACTGCTGTTTCAGACTTCCTTGATAATGTAGTGTGTTTCAAGCGGAGGTTTTTGCCATTGAGATAATGGTAGATTTACTTCTATGGAATGAAAAGTTAGATAAGTGAMTATGCACTCTGATAGCAAGGCAGGGGTTAACCGTGCGTTCTGGGCTGTTTAAGGAATGTGTAAATTCGTTTTCAATGGCACCGATTAACTTTGTAATAAGWCTAGTATGGGTGTCAGGCYAYAGGGAAGTCGCAGGTAACTGAAAAAATAATGAACRGCAAARGAAGGGTATTCTTGSCTGCCYATTAGTGGAATGGGATYAAGTCGGTGCTGACTCTCCTSGTGTGTKCTGCTACTTGATAGCTGGGTATGGCGGAAACTTGGCCAACGCTGGGCTACCATTGGTTCAAGATCATTTTGGATCAAGATTATTTTGGTTCAAGATCGATCTTAAGAGCTCTCGGGAGTTCTTCGCCATCAGTAAGGCTAGCCTCTCCCTACTTGTGTTGGTTCGAACCGGCCATTGTCCTATTGGCTTGGTTGTAAGGTTGAGATTCTTAATGATGCCAGCCGCCGCAGCTGTATGGAAGAAGACGAGGTGGAAATACCACAAATTTACCCTTTTTTTTTTTGTCTCGTGTTTACGAGATCAAGGCTTAAACAGTAAGGTGCTCAAATTTTAGACATCCTGGGATGGTGGGGATAGAAATTAATCGCCTGGTCACATCTTTATCACAAGGCGCTTTGCTGTCTTATAAGTTCGAATACAGAAATTATATTTGAATAGCTACACTTCAAAGTGGGGTCTCTAGAACAGCCATCTCTCCCAGATCACTTTTCGCTTTTGAGATGATCATTTGGACTTATAACTCCGTAACTGAGTTTGCGAAAGACAACATACCCACAAATATTTATAAGTACTTTGTTTGGTTTTAATATTTTGGATAGGTCACAACCATGTTCTAAAATATTTTTAATGAAAGCTTTCCAGCGCAATTTTCGCTTGGTGCCTACATATTTTATATTATAATATTTTGTTTGCATCTTTTCGAAATTTATGTATTAGTTCCGCAAAAGCTTTTTAGGCTTAYAGGTAACTCTGCAACCGATTGAGTTTCTGAAAGCTAGCATAATCACAAATGTTTCGAAGTAATCTGCTTGATTTTGGTTTTTTTCACAGAAAGTAACCCTATTATAAAACCTTTTTAATGAAAGCTTTCAAAAGAACTTTTTGTTGTGTTGCTACTTTATACAATACTATTTTCCTGTGTTATAATAAATATGCTTATTAACTTGTACTAATGTTTATTATGCGAAAATTTGCAGCAACATCATCGCTACTGCCCTACTTGACCATACACATGCAATCGATCGGTCTAACAGTGGAGGAGATTGCCATCATCTACCTGGCATTGCCGTTCACTACCTTCCTCAGTCCGCCAATTACAGGTATGTTAAACATCCAGCATGTTGCTAGATGCGATACACCCATGCCATGACGACAAAATGCAAAGTGTATTGCATTGCAACATTAATAAAGACAATTTCATTAAAATCCATTTACTTTTACTCGCAGCAATTGAACGACCKGCATTGCTCGCAAATTGTACGATATTTGATTTAATTACTATCTTAATTGAATGTATTAAAATTTTCACTCTTCATTTTCTTAACACTCTTCTCTCCCTCTCCCACTCTTTGGTTTCTGCAGGTTTCCTTGTCGATAAATTTGGCAAGTACAAACCGGTCGTCATAATGAGTTTGCTGCTGAATGCACTTTTCCATCACTCGCTCTTGTTTATACCGCAACAGGAGATTCCAGGTATTGTGCCATCGGCGTTTGTTATGCGCCATCCTGATACCGGCGATATAGAGGTGAGTTGCACAGCACACTTGAATATTTACTCATCCATCTCCATCTCCATTCAACAATCACACAAAAGTATTCAACATGCCATGTACCGTTAATTTCATTGTTTTACCAACTTGCACGCTTTGTAGGTACAAAGTGCTTGCAGCGCATACTGCATACCTGTGGTATACATACATACATATGTACATATGTCTGTGAGCCTCATTGTAATGCCACTACAACATCAGTTCTTTGTCTCGTGCTGCTCGCTTTTCGCACTCCTTTTCGGTTGATTGCCTTTGGTATTTCAGTTTCCTTGGTGGACTAAAAACTCTCTGCTGGATTGTATGGCTGCCGGCGCATGCTGGCGTTCAAAACCAGTGATGTTAAAGTTTTTTGGTTACTTATGGCAAAAACCTACAAAAGTGTCAAGAGAGAATTAACATGAGTTTTGCAAAGTTCGTTTGTATTTTCGTTTACTTCCAGGAACTGCTCTCGGGCAAGGAGATGGTTTCGATGTAGGTTGACGACCGATACGTGGTGGATGTTCAAAACCAGTTAACTTTAAAAATCAGATTGCTACTRTTTTAAGCAGATGAGAAATTATATAACGGATTTTACTCCTGATTTTAGGACAACTTTGTGCAGTTTAGAAATTATAAGTCTGAAGTCTTAGCCCGCTAGATGGCGCTAGTTGCAAATTATTGCAGAAAATAGTATTTACGGGCCGATATGGCGGGTGTTTCGGATTTAATGTATGGAAAGTGGTTAAATTTATTACTTCGAAGTATCAAAGCCTAACAGAGTAGGTAAAAAATCTTCAAAATAACGTGAGCGATGAGAAAGTTAGTAACGCATTCCTCGATAAATATGACTATCGAAATGCTTAATTTGGTCTAAAAATTCGGGTATGGAAAATCTTCTCGTTCTATAGTACAAAAATATCGATTTATTTCCATTTCGGATCAACACATACTTAGTAATCTCAAAAGTCTGTACATCTATTATAAAATTTTCTTCTACGTTCGCAAATGTTCGTCCTGAGACAAGCCTTGACATGCCTTACATTCATTACGTAAATTTCCCACAAGATTCACGACACTGGCCGAGCTCTTTCGCTATCAGAAATGAGTGCTTTCAGAAATTCCTTTTAATTACAACAATTTATGTGGTTGAGTGGTAGGTATGTACGTACATATGTACATATATACGTGCTTTCTTTGTACATGACCAACTGGTAAAGGCTCGCAATAGTCGTTGAAGCGACCAACGACTACACACCGAACTACAATAGAMAAATATGCTCCACGTATGCATAAGTCTGATTCCGTTCATATAAATGAATGTTTTCCAGCATGCCTTTCACAGAAATTGCGGTTGTTCGCTTTGTCTTSACCGACAATACTCATTAATGCTGTTGCTATTTTGGTGCTGCGTTTTAACCTTTTGTGTCGTGCGTAATTGGTGTGTAGGATTTTCATCTTAGCCATTGTTTAGCATTTTGCCACTTTTGTTTTGAGTCGATATTGAAGTTGCAACTGATTACAACACACTCGCGTGCATCTAATACACTTAAGCGTGTATGTATGTACGTGTATTGCTAAGCGCATGTGCTGCAGAGCAAGGTGAAAATTCAATCGATTCAGGCATGTTGAGCTCCACGCGGTTGAATAGTTGCTCAATTGCTTATTTATTCGAGTACTATAAGACTATGCTTAATGAAGAAAATGAAGATATAAGCAGCTGCTAAGTTATTTGAGTTCATATAATTATTACGAAAAATTTTGAATTACTGTCAGAAATGTTAATGGGAGTGACTTTTTGAAGACACACTAATTTGCGGTATGCCGAAGCGGCTCTCAGAGATGCTGTCTTCTGCAACTTAGCAAGCACTTTCCRTTTATGCTTCACATATCGG